TTATAAGCCTAGAAGAATACATTTAGCGGATATTTGATTATTTATAAGGTTTTATTGCACACATTTCGCTGCTTGTTAGCGGTGACGTCCCTACTTTCAACAAGCATCTTAATGCCATTCCCCTTTTTTACGATCCCGCGGTTAGAGGTAACTAAAAAGGCCTACCTAACGTTTTTTTTCTAAGTCGCTGTTGTCTGTCAAATTTTGAAATACGCTCTATCAGGGTTGTGAAGGACGGGACGCGGCACCTCTCGCCAGAGATGTCGAGCGATGATGCATTGTACAACTTGGAGTGTGATTTTGATGAACAGAAACGTCTGGTGAATTTTTACACCAAGCAGGTCAATTTGCTGCACCCCGAGGACGTAGATGTCGCTATGCGTTTTGCTTGTCGTCTACAGGCCCTTGAATCGGAACAACGCAGCAATTTGCAGGTTATTAGCATTTCCTGCTCGTTTTAAAAGGCGTTTTCCTTATCTCCTTGGATATTAGAACATTTAAAAATAGTTCTTTCGATGCCTGTTCATATAAGTGACATATTTGTATGCTAGGTTCTTGAACAACTTACTTCCGAGACGAATACGCTACCTGAATGCCAAAGCAGGGTTTCTCTGCTTATCGCGGAGTATGACGAACTAAGACGGCAATGCGTCAATTTGCGGTCGACCTGTGAAGATCGGTCCTACTTTTTACCTTTCAACCTGTCCTTCTGTTTGAGATGCCTTGGACTACTACAGAAGCAATGCTCACTGTTTCAAAATGATCGCTTGGAGTGTTGTCTTGGCCCCAACAACTACACTGCCGCTGCGTTCTCCTGCTACGAAGAACGGTTAAAGAAGCAGCTCATTTCCTTAAAGGTATCGATTTGAAGCTTTGATGAAAACCGTCACTTGTCGGCGCTTTTTTATCTTTTCCTATGCTCTCATTGCTCACTATTGTAGAAATCGGCTCCTTCATGTTCCATTATTTTCTTATTATACTCAGATATTGCTTTATTTGTGTATTTAGGGGATTTTCTTATAAGTCCTTCTTGGCCTTACTAAAGGTTCGATAGTTGTTTACTATACTGACTACGTTGTGGGGGCATAGCGCAGGTATAGTCAAATTTGACAGTCGAACGATCACAGCATGTTTTAGTATTTTTACGTTCGATGAAACTTGTAACCATTAAGCATCTGTTTCTTATGTTGTAAGATATGATTATGTTTCATTGTTACTTAAAAACGGTTATCTCAAGATGTTAAATTAAGAAGAGAGGAGACTCTTTGGGAAAACGGAATCTGTCATGGTAGCCTGCGGAATGTGTACAGAAATTAATTATTATTTAAAGTAACCGTTTTTAACAGAGGATTTTTTTGGTTGGGTGACGTCTGCGGCAATGGGTCGTACTTGCGGCGCGTCCTAATTGGCTGTGTGCGTTTAGATTTGTCCTTGAAAAACCTCTGAATTGATATACCGATCGATGTATGCCACAGCTGTGTGCACTTCTTGCGGGAATTCGTCGCTTTTTCTGACTGTGTAAGTGCCAACAATCCGTGTGTTCTCCCACGCCAGCTTACGTCTCGGGTACCTCGCTGTCAGCGATTATCGTCTACGCGTGTTTAAACCACATTTTTAGATGTAAATCGGGCTTTATCTGATTAAAGAAAACGTTTTCCATTTAAAATCTTGCCCCTTCTGCAAGTGCAGCCATGGCGCACAGACCATAACCATGAATTTTTTCCAAAAAAGGCAAAGATCACGAGTTGAGCAGAATTTTTTGACGTTTTACAATTTCGTGACCTTTAATTCATCTGCGAACGGACATTGCCTGTTAATATAGTAAATTAACTGTTCAATTAGAAGGGTGAAGCTTAATAGGTAGATAAGATGGGAAACATAAGTCAAAGTGTGGGTGCATAGTGAGGAGTAGAGGAAGGCGTAGGTAATTATCACA